CCACATGCATTTTTTATATTTTTTTATGACATGGCGAGGACAACTTAAAAAGGTGCTGATCTAGACTTTTTTTTTATGACATGTTATCTTCCCACAAATCCCACGTTGCCTGCAAACAAGTCTCTCATCTTCAGTCTTTACAAAATCAATCTAACTCATATTTTCTTATTCTTTGAATGCTCTCTCATCTCCACTCCATCTGCAAAATCAATCTTAACCCATTTCTTCTTTTTCTCTGAATGCTCTCTCATCTTTACTCCATCTACAAAATTGATCTTAACCCATTTCTCCTTCTTCTCTTTTCTCGAAGGAACTTGAGCTACTGGGTTTCATTGAATCCTCAAACATAGCAGATCTTATCAAATCAAATTAACCCTTCAATAAACAATACCAATCAAACTCTAATCGAATTCTAACAAAAATACAATCAAACTTTAATCAAATTCCAATAAAAATGCAATCAAATTGTAAATCAACTCCCAAATTTATTAACAACTGGGAATGGAAATCAAAAGAAGAAGGAAAAAACATGAACCCCACGTCGAAACAACAAGGTTGGGTTCATCGAAACCCAGCCGATCTGGTTTCGACGAACCCAGCCTTCGACAAAACCAGGCTGGTCGTGCAAACCAGCCAAGGCTGGGTTTCGACGAACCCAACAAGCAACCAAGCCTTGGCTAGTCGACAAACCCAGCAAGGCTAGGTTTCCACTGAACCCAACCTATCCTAGGGTAGGCAAGAAAGAAAGAGAAAGAGAAAGAAAGAAGGGGAAGAAAAGGGATCGGGAGGGTGAGGGTAATTAGGTAATTTTATTTGTTTTTAATTAAAATATACCTATTAATCTATGTGGCATTTTTATTTATTTATATAACATAATTATAATATATATTATTGCCACATCATCAAAAAAATTAAAAGACAATGCCACATGAAATTATTTAATTGTCACATCGTACTTAATTGACGGAGAGACCAAAATTGTGCAATTTTTAGAATCAAATGATCAAAAAAATGCAAAAAATTGTTGAGGGATCAAAAATTTGCATTTCATAAAGTTGAGGGATTAAATTTAGCATTTAACCAAAAAATTAACATTTTATTTTTTTTTGAGAATAACATGCTAAGAATTGCCTGGGTATTTACCACAAAAAAATTGCACGGGTACAATGAAATAATTGTTCCATTTATTCTTTTTTTTTTTCTCTGAAATTGCTTCTAATTTTAATTCATATTTTAATTTTAATTCATATTTTAATTCATATTTTCGATGGTCAACAGGTAGCAGATCAGCTCAGGATTGCAATTTGCCAAATTCTGGCATTTTTTATTGACCCGACTGGCCGGTCGGTGAACCACTCGGACCGACCAAACCAGGAATTGGTGAGTAAACCAGTTCAATCACCGGTCTGGTTTTTAAAACCATGGTTATCACTTCCTCAGCCTGTTAAATACAATGACCATAAAGCCCCTCACACGTGCTCAAGACTTACGGCGTGGTTCATTCCATCTAGATATACCCCTTTTAGAGCTTGTTTCGTGGGATTTATAAAAGTTTTTATTTTTTTATAT